TATATTATTTATTCTGTGTGAATTCGTATGTTCCATATTCTTTATGTTTCATAATTCTTGTTAATTCCGCCACTCGAACCGATCCGTTCCGTTATTCGCCGGAATCGTGTGTTTAGCAACTACGTCTCAGGGCGTAGATACAGTCGACCTTCGTACGCGTAACTCAGTATCGGCAACGGATTAATTCTCGGTAGCTAACGTTTAATATCGTACCTTGTCATTTATCCACGCGTCCCTTAAGGAATCCCGTATCGCGTGGCTTACATATTATTGGTATCGAAATTACCATTTCATTTTGTAATTTAGTTATCATTGTTAATTCTTATAAGTCCCAAAATAAAGGGCCCATTGTTATTTTGTTACTGGTTAATTGGAAGTTCTCAATCTTTATTCAGCGTACCATCTATAAGATCCAAGCCCCTCTACTATCTCGTTGCGATCTAGCTGGCCTGGTTAATTTCCTTCTTTCCCTCGGAATCTTCCTTTGCAGTCTCGTGGCACAAAGGTGTGCCTGGCGCCCAAGAGCATTTAGTATTCCGAATTCCTGGATCTCGGGGAAAAGCAAGGAGTATTGTAATTTGTGACGGCATCGTTCCGTCTGGCGTGAAGAATAACGTCACAATATGTTGTAACGTGGCGTCCGTGGGACGGCCAGTTACATAAAAGCGTAGGGGCACGGAGAGCCGTGTCGCCAACGAAAGCCGCCAAGAGAATGCCGATGCCGACGAAGATTCATGGCAAGGAGAAGCCGGGGAGAGAAACCGGCACCGCCGAGCCCGAAAATCGGGCGGACTCGGGTAAGATCGGCGCCGCCCGGAGACTGGCGGGCGGTGAGCGCCGAAAAGCGGATAGCGGACCGAGGCGAGAGATAACGCACGAGTTCGGGTGAACTCGGGATTCTTCGGGAATCCTCGGGCCGGGGGGCAAAAAGGGGCCCACTTCGTTTCGAACCGCGGATCGGGAATACCGAAAATCGGCGGATAAGGTATCGCGATTTTTCTGGTTGGAGTGTGGTGAGAGTGTGTGAGGGTTGCAGGACCTGTTGTGCAACGTGGCTTTTTCCCGGACGTGATATGGAATGGAATCTATCGACGACGACGGCGCTCCTACGGTACTCGGAGAATAGAGGGTGGAGACGGCCGACGAGGAGGAAAATTGCCAACCACCACCACCCGAGCGACGAGGAAGAAAGGTACGGTTCACCGGAAGATTCGGTAAGTGCAGTTTAGGCGACCGCCCCGAAGCCATGCAGCCGGGGATGAAGCGCATCCGGCGGTGCATCTTGGCACGAGGAGTGGGGGGCCGCGGGCCTCGCCACGGGTCCTGGCGGTTGCAGATTTGAACCGACCACCGTCAACAGGGATGACCTCCGCGACCGCGTTGTGTATTAGAATTGTATAGAGCCGCGCTCGTATACATCACCCGACTGTACTCGTTTACCTAGGCGAAATAAAGGGCCATTGTTGGAATTAAATGCCACCGTGTTAGTCATTACCAAAGAAGCCGGCTGATTCCTGTAGATACTCGCCGCCCTCTCGTTCCCCTCTACCATGACGGGTTAGGAGCTAGCGGGAAGATCCGGTCGAGAAGACTCCCGGAAGTGATGCGCCGCGGATTAAAAATTAAAGGCCCGACGAGTCGGGCTGGTGCAAGGATGCACCTGGCGCCCAAGGGATCCGCGGAATGCCACGTTGGGGTCGCGGATAGAACGTAGGCCAGGAAATGCGTTACAATGTATACAGGGTGTCCCAAAACTGCTTTTGGACCGAAAAGTGGGCGATGCCTCGAGGTGCCCTGAGTACCCTCCCGCAAACCGTTTGCCAAAATTCGCAATAGTTTTTAAATCAGAAGCATTTAAGTGCGACCAATCAGAACGAAGGATTTCCGCGGATTCACTCGCAGATGCCAAAGATAGCTGCTTTGCAATATCTTCCCACAAATTCCGCGCTGAGCAATTGTTTCATAGCCCGAGCGAGCGTCGTAGGATTTGTTGACAAACTACCAATATGGGCATGGGCGTGACTTAGGCTGGCGCAACAGCTACACGTGCAACGCCCGATCGGCAATTGTTTCGGGATACGCATCAGCCAGACGAAAACCGGTACACGGTATCCAAATCGTCATGCAATGAATCTTATAGCAGTCCTGAGGAAAACAGATTATTAAAGTGAGAGGGAGTCGGAAGGGTGGGTGGTGGGACTGATGCATTAAATTTAAAATGAATTGAAAACTAAGCATAAAAGTATTATTTTTTTTTGTCCTGTGAATAGCCATATCGAATTTCCAAGACATCGCGATTGCTGGTTTCAAAGTTATAGAGCACTCATCGATTCTGCAAACTGTAAAACATACGTAAAATAGGAAAATAGATTAGGAGAGAAACGCAAAGACACGTGTATCCCTTCTTTTCGTCCCTAGAATGTTCACACCAAGTTGCAACACTTTCCGACTTTCGGTGGCAACATTTATCGACTCTAAAGTTTGCAAAAAATACATGAAATCGAAAAAATGATCTGGGAAAAAAATGCAAAAATACGTATCCCGTTTTTTCGTCGCTAGAATGTCCCCACCAAGTTGCAGCCTTTTGCGACTTCTAGTGGCAAAGTTACGCAACACTTGTCGACTCTGAATTTTCAAAAAAATACATGAAATTGAAAAAATTATCTGAGAAAGAAATGCAAAAATACGTATCCCCTTTTCTCGTCACTCGAATGAGTATCCAATTTTCAGATCTTTGCTAATTACGATGTGAAACTTATAGAGTGTTAGCCGATTTTTGATTTTGGATTTTTAAAAGATATGGAAGACACATGGGTGGAGGTATACGAGAGGTATAGGTAGAGAGTAGATAATAGTATAGAAGAAGTATAGGAAGAGAATGGGCAAAGGTATAAGAAAATTATGGGAAAGGTATACATGGAACTTATGTGTACGATTTATGCCTAGCTGTCATTGAAAAAATGGATTAAGGAGAGGAGGTGTGTTATAAAGAATTAAACCTGAAATTTGGTTTAAACATTTATTGTATAAATTAATTAAAAAGTATAATTTAATTAATGTAATTTGATGACCTATTTTGCTAACGGAAAGTAAATAATGAATTTAGGTTTATGTTTACAATGTGTTAATGCGTTATAGAAATGCACAAAAGTCTTAAACCGGTAAGTAATGACAATATAATAACTTAGATTAGTCAAGTTAATAATAATTAAAACTAAATAATAATAATCGCAGTTATGTTATAGAACAGGTTATTGGTTATAATAATTATCATTTAGAACTTCCAGTATCTTCATTCATTGGACTGATCAAGACCGTGACTGTGAAAAAATGATAGCGAATAAATTATACATCATATGTTTTACTATATTATGTATAATTTAATCTTTATCACTAATTTGCCGTTATGGCTTGTCCAATACAATGAATGAAGAGACTGGAAATTCTAGATGGCCGTCCCCGCTTGTTGTCCTCAGGTTAGGTCATATGTTCTTCTATTTCCTTTTCTCGTCACCCTAATAATGACAATCTGGAAAAGAAAATGTAGATGGTTATTTATATCTTATTTGTTAAATAAAAGTGACAAATGGATTATAGGGGAGGGTTCGCTTACCTTTGACTGTAGCATGATGATAGGCGAATCCTGTTTACTTTTCATTGCTGGCCTCGCTTATTGAACTTGTGCCGCTTTCTCTCGCGTTCATGTAAAAGGAATAGAAAAGGAAAAAAGAAATTATTAAATTAATTTAAAAAATAATGTTGTACTGTATTGTGTTTACTTACTTTTTTCGAAGTCGATCGAAAGATTGTTCCCACCAAGAATGATGTTCACATGAAATGAAAAACAAATTTATTAGCATATCTAATTGATATTGTTAAGGTGCTGTTGTAAAACGTACCTTTTATATTGAAGTTGTTTTACAATTTGACCGGCCGGTCGTCGTCTTGTACAGAAACACACAGGGGCGCAGACAGGCAGCGCTGGACCTAGCATCTAAAGCATGATAAAAATCCAAATAGATTAAGTATCAAATTTAAACATTAATTTCTTATTGAATAATTCTGTTTCCTTACCTGGATGAAGAAGGTTGTCGAAGTGACCGCCATTCGCCTGAATGCAGCACCTCGCACGCTGCAAGAGGCTGCCTCGACAGTTCACCAGCATTTACGGGGTGATGGAACGCATGGCAGTGTCGATCCGCAGGTGAAGCTCTTGCAGTGTCTCGATGGGTGTCCTGTAGACGACCGACTTCACGTGTCCCCAGAGGAAGAAATCCAATGGCGTCAGGTCTGGGGAACGTGCCGGCCAGTGACGGGGTCCTTCTCGTTCGATCCAGCGCTCCGGAAACATACCGTCGAGTTGATGACGAACGATGCCGGCTGCATGTGCAGGAGCCCCGTCGTGCTGCAGCCGGATCCTCGTCAGGTCCTCTTCGAGCAGTCCGCTGATGCGAAGGAGGGGTTTGAGGTTGCGCCTGAGAAATCCATGGTATTTCTCGGCTGTCAACGTTCCCCCCAACTGGAAAGGTCCTATCTGAAATTAAAAGAGCAATTTGTTTTACGAAAAAAATTTAACTTAAATTCCAAGATTACTTACCAGTTTATCATTAATTATTCCTGCCCAAAGATTCAGAGAGAATCGTCGCTGATGCCTCACAGGTATCGGAGCGTACGGATTCTCTGAAGCCCACACGTGAAAATTGTGTGTATTCCAGCATCCAGAGCGTCCGAAAGACGATTCATCGGTAAACATAATGTTTCCGATGAAAGTCGAATCTTCCTCGTGTTTCTGGAGCACCCACTCACAAAAATTACGCCTGATAGCGTAATCAGATGGCTGAAGCTCTTGTACACTCCTATAGTGATACGCGTGCCACTTCTCAACTTTTAAAATCCTATGGATCGTGCCTCGCGATAATCCTGGCGAGCGCGCCACCGACCACACGCTCGCCGTCGGATCTTCGCGAAACGCGTCCAAAACACGCTCCTCACTTGGGGGGGTCCGTCTCTGACGCGGTGCACCTGTTCCTTGGTGATTGGACATAGCATTTCCGGTGGACTGTATGCGCATCACCGCACCCCGGATCACCGCAGCTGAGGGATGTCGCCGAACGGCTTGGGAAGCACTCCGCTTACTTCCGAGCCGCTTCCTCCGCGTTGCATTCATTTATTCCATATTGAAGGATCATATCGCCGTATTCCTCACAAGTATATTCCATTATATCCAAGTATAATCCAGTTTAAGCGACACTAAACAGAAAAACAACAGTTTACAATACGAATATCACAGTTTAAAGTTCCCTTTAAGGCGTCTGTTTCCAGTGCACTCAAGAGAAGAACTATAGCTAACGGACAAAGAGTGGAGAGTGGGAGGCCAACGAATAGTAAAATTGGACGCCAAGCAGTGCATCTATTTTATTATCCGATGACCCCCCTCCCACCCTCACCACTCTTTGTCCGTTAGAATATTTCTTTTCGTGAGGGATATACCAACGAATGAAGAATCGAACACCCGCGACAAAGGAGGCCCGATGGGCCCAAATAGGGTACCTACCCGAGCCAGCTGAACAACCGACAGCCGACGCCAGGGAGCCGCCACCCCCGACGAGTCCGGACGAGGACAACACCCCGCTAAGGGGAATAATAAAAACACGACCACCCCGAGGCCCCAAGATTACCCTACAGCGCCCCTCTGAGGTCCCCCCCCTTCCTCCCCAAGCCCCTCCCCTGAAGGCCCTGATGGCCCTTAGAGTGGGTCCGCCCTGCCCCCTACCCCCTCCCCCGCCTCCCCTCATGTCCCTCCAAATCCCGGGACCCAGCACTCCCTCGCACTGGCAGCCCTCACCACCACCCGCGGTCAACAGGCCGCAAAAGAAGACAGGAGGGATACGGTTCCGCTGCTGGGCCTGTGGGGGAGTCAACCACCCCGCGGCCAGCTGCCCAAATCAGATCAGGAGGGAGTAAGCATGAAGGACCCCTACCCCCAGGATGGACCCCCTTGAAGACAACCCCGGCTAAGTCCCCGGCTCTCTCTCTCTCGACAAAAAAAAAAAAGGGAGAATAAACTGCAGATAGCGCAAAACAGAGCTATGCGTGTCATATTGCAATGCAGCAGGTATACAAAGATAGAAGATATGCTACAAGCGGTTCAGTTTATGAGTGTGAGGCAGAGGCTATACTTTAATGTGTTGCGACGATATTCTCGGTCGTCGATAAAACGAAACTTTACACAACGGAAATCGGGAGCGTCAGTGGTCTCGCCAAACTCGAAAAGGGGGTTGGGCGCCAGGTACCCTCAAAGGAGCACCACGATCTCTAGGCTCGTTGTCGAAACAATAACGATCGCGAGAGACAATTGGTCCGGAGTTTATTTTTGTTTTTGGAGATTAAAAAGTCTAATCAGCTAACAACAGGAGTACCTACTTTACCCTACCCTACCCCTACCTGTACCCTAGTCGACCCTCCACCAGGCAAACTAAAACTAAAGATGCCACCAGGCGAACTAATTCTAAGGGCATCACGGCCACGCAAAATCAGATAGGGGCACCACGGCCAAGAAAAGTTACTAACTTAACTAACCTAAAGGCACCACAGCCACTCAAAACAGATAGGGGCCCCACGGCCAAGAAAAAGAATAGAGAAATAAGAATAGAGAAAAAAGAATAGAGAATAAAGGTTACCCGGAACTCAAAAGATATTACTAAATTAGACCACTAAACGTCCCACGGTACGCCGCTTCGGAGGCTAGCTCGTCGGAAGCGTCGCGGCGTTCAAGAGGTAAGGAAGGAAAGAACTCAGCCAAGAAATTATAGGAAAGGGGAACTCAAAACTGCAAGAAAATAATCCGAATTAATGAGTTAACGCACCAGAGCTGTATTAAGCAAAAACAGAATTCAAAAAATCGAGGAACTCAATAGCAAAGGTACAAAAGCAATGATTCAGGCATTACTGATAAGGCGAGCGAAAGCCAAGCGTAGTCTTCCAAAAGTCTTGAAATTAATTCACAAGGATCGGTATCTAAAATCGGAAGCTATACAATGCAAAAGAAATAAGAATCACGAAATACTACTTACAAGGAAACCCCCCCAACCCGACCCCACCGATTTCAATAATTTTTTGATATGTTGTAGTACTCGACAAAATAAGAGACACGTATTTTTTTTTTGTGCTGACATCCACTTTAAAGGGGTGAAACGACCCCTGAAATTCACCCCCGACAATCGTTTTTTCATCATATCTCGACTTCTAATTAATATTTTTTAATAAAACCAAGTGGAAAATATTTGACATAAGAAGTCGAAGATATGAGGTGTGTTTATGACCCAAGGGGTTGCAACCCTTATTTTATATTTTGAAAAAACTATATTTTTTATGCTTTTTTTCTGCATAAAAACCGGGGTATGGGCTCAAAAAAATAAAGAAAAGCGTTTCCGTTAACTCCATCAAATATTTCAGTTGGGGTGTTTCAGGATTTTTCAAAGGGATAAAAACCACCCCTAAATTTTACCCCCGAAAATTGTTTTTTATCATATGTCAGATTCTAATTGATATTTTTTAATAAAACCAAGTGGAAAATATTTGTCATAAAAAGTCGAAGATATGAGGTGTGTTTATGACCCAAGGCGTTGCAACCCTTATTTTATATTTTGAAAAAACTATATATTTTATGCTTTTTTTCTTCATATAAACCAGGGTATGTACTCAATATTTATTAATATTTTTTAATGAAACTATGATTAAAAATTATTTTTATAAGATTTATTTCTTTTTCTTCTCTTTTTATAATTAATTGTAAGTCACAGTATTTTATTCTTCAAAGTGTTGACAATAATGATTATCTTCAAAAAAGTGCTTAAAACATAAAGACTTCATTGCACTTGCACCTCCTTCAACTGCTAATGTTCTTCCAGAATGCATTTCTAATTGGAACCCACTCTGATCTGAATTATATAAATTTTCAATTCCAATTGATGATATAGAAGATTTCACATCAGCAACAAACATATCAGCCATCATTTGGAGGCCTAAAGTATTTTCCAATGTTTTCCTAGTAATAAATTTATTTATTTTTCTAGACACTATTCTGTGAGCCTTTTGGAATTTCGCTAACCAATTTTTAGAAGCTTTAAATCTTACATCTTCAGATCCAATTTCTTTTTGAGCTTGTAACGCCCATCTCCGTATATCGTGATCGTGAATAATTAAACCACTTTCAACAGCAGCTTTAAAATTATCAAGTGTGTATTGACAAATCCGTGCAATTTTTTCTCGGTACGTGCCACCTTCATTAATATTGTGAGCTCAACGTTTGAGCTGACTGATTGATGAGACTTTTCTGAATCTTCTTTACGCTGTTTCAATACTTAAGTTTTCTTTTCCCACTTCTCCAATATTCTACAGCTTTTTGTTTGTAATCAAAATTGATGTCTTCAGTATCTTTCGTACACTGATTTGTTGGTGCAACGTCAGGATCAGGAAAATGATGTCTATAGACGCAGGCTGATTATCGGCAAATCACGGCCGAAGGCGCTACACGTGAGCGCGCGCGCGAGTAAGACACGGCCCCGCGGGCTTGATACTTCTAGACGACGATATCCACGGAAAATAATATGGCTGGAAGAATCGAGTTACTCGGAATAAACTAACAAATTCGCTTTGAACTAAAATAACCAAATAGCGATACGGACAAAAATCGGAACGGAAGGAACGGCAGAGGAACGGCAGCGGAACGATCTGCGCGGTTCCAATTCTCGCACACGCCAAATTATAACCGTGGTCGACAATAGTAATACGAAAGAGTCACGCAAAAGAAATTATACTACGAAGGAACCCGACAAAAGATAATACATGCGGGTTTGCAAACACCAGTTCGAAAATAGCGAACACGAAAAGTAGCACAATAAATAGAAATAGCACAATAAATTAATACAAGATATGGCCCAGAAAAATATATCAGTCAAAAAAAGATAGAATATTATAACGAGTATTTCATTATCGTTGCAGCGGAAAGACGTTCTCGGAACGGGTAGTACAATTTCGAAATCGGCCGAAGGCGCGACGTCGAGGAACGTCAACAAGCAAAGTCGCCTCGGCGTCGAAAGGACGCGTGCGACACGTAAAATTCACAAAAGTTCCCAAGAGAATATAACGATGAAATTACAATAAGGTTCGGCAACGATAATCAGATACGGCACACCAGCAAGAAATCACAGAAATCAGAACGGAAGATATCGCATACAGAAATAGGAATATTAAATTCGGAATTACACTTCAGCAGAAGCCACAAAAGATTAGCTCAAAGAAAGAAAAGAATTCGGTTTAACGTATTTCACTTCGGAAGAGGAACATAAGAAGATGCAGAATAAAGATGGTGTGGGCCCGCCACTAAATTTAACCGAACTTAGGGTTCGGATGTCTCACAATAATTGTTCAGAAGAAGAATAATTTTACGGTAAACGATATCTTATAATAGTGGGCAAACAATATAATCGGCCGCGCGAGAATCTGGCTATAGAACAACCAAGCCGGTTAATCCGGGGTCAAACACGCGTGCAGGCAGATTCCCACGTGTACACTAGGCGAAGATTCCAGAGAGTTCGTTAGATACAAAAGAATCGCAAACACCAAATTATACAGAAAAGCGCAAAATCGGAAACTCAAACATATGAATGATAATGGCACTATCGTCCTTTATGTGATACTAGGCGGGAAGACATTCGCCCGATAACGACAAAGAAAATTCGTCGCCGGCTAAACGGACGGTTTAGCCGTGCACGTGTCTACCATCTTCAATATACCAAAAATCAGAAAATATTAAGGAAGCAAAAGATCTCACCACAAAATTAGCAAAATAAAGCGTAAAGCGTCAAGCTCAATAGATTCCGCCCTTAAGGCAATGGGACAAGTCCTCTCAATAATCGCTCTATCTCTTTCTCTCTCTTTCTCTTTATCTCTCGGTCCTCAATACTTCCGACGTAATTAGTCTTCAAGACTTCGCACGACAATGACTGATCGATCGACGATCGTTGGCAAGCGGGCGCAGGTGAGGCGGGACGGCACCGGAATAGGACGAACGTTGGCGAGGGTAGCCGAGCTCTCCCGAGCGTCGACGCGCTGCGGCGGAAACGGCCAGACGGAATCGAGCGGCGATCTTGACGGCACGGCCCTCGAAGTACACTGGGCCCGGCGAGTAAGGAATGTCGGCGGCTTCTCGGCCGGACGGAGGCGCTGACGTGGGCGATTGGCAGGCCTTAGGCGGGCCAGGGAGGAAAAACTCATTTCCCTGCCGGCCGTATCGGCGGCGGATAGGTCCAGAGGGCATCCTTCGCCGG